TACAGATGGGTAGACCAAAGCACAGAGGTTAATTTGCCCAAGGGCATATACCTAGTAAGACATGGAGCCAGGATTTGAGTCTAGGAAGTCTGACACCAGAGGCCATGCTCCTAACCATTAGCTTCTTCACTGCTCATCAAAAGTGATCTTGTAGGGGAAAATCCACTGATAGGAAAGTATATTCATGTTATGTTTCTTTTCTATCTGCAGTTAACATTTCTAACCTTTCATGGTCTGAGAATCCACAGGAAACTGAAAAGGGCAGGGCAGGGAAGGGGCTTTCAGGTATGTCTGTCTTTTTTATTGATGGTGCTCTCTTCATTGTCATTTCTAGTGAGAAACTTTTAAAGATACCTTGTTTTGATTTTATTTGGAATGATGAACAGGGCACTGAGCATGGGGCAACTTCTAATCTTGACATTGCCTCTAACCAACTGTGTGACCTAGTCTAGCCCAATTTTATTAATCCTTAAATTGAGGAGGCATATTTAGATAATACTATAATGCCTTTCCATTTTTATCATTCTGAACTTTGTATGTCAATCTGTAGGGCAATCAGCACATCCTTAGAGGCCGAAGGCAATGATGGATATAGTATGAGTGTAGCGCCAGCTTAGGTCGGGAAAGAATGAGTGGAAAATAAATAAAGCATGTGTCTTCAGAGAATGTCTTTAGAGAAGGTGGAGACTGAATTTTCTCAGCTGCACCTGCTGACTGTCTCCTGTCTTGAGTGTGCCCTCACAGACATCCAATAAGCCTTTTCTTGTGGAGTCTTCCCCCTGCCAAGCCCCTCAGTTTAGCTCCCTGCTTTGAGAATTGCCCTGAAACATCCATTGGCACACTACTCAAGTGGGTCTCTGCATGGGGTAACACCACGCAAATTTTGCACACTCTGAACAGAAGGATCAAGAATTGCTTATAGCCCAGCTCCTTGCCTGGGGCTTTTCCACACCTGCCTAGAGCTCTGGTGTGAGGTCTCACTGAATTTCTATTCCTGGAGTTTTGTCCTCCTAACACACAAGATCCATTGCATTCACATGGAGTCAGTATCTGAGCCCCAAGCACAGCTTCACTTTAGACAGGACCTCCCACCTGATAACCTATTTGTCTCTGATGGTACCCATTGGCCCCTGAATCTCACACTGGCTTCTGGTAAACTCGAACCAGGGGTGCTAGGAACAAATACAGGCCAGAGAGTACATAAGACATCCAGAAGCTGCAGAAATATAGTGTCCTCCAAAACACCAAAGAAACATCAAGAAATCCTGGGCCTAGGAGGCTGGAGTCCATTTTTATTTAACATTTATTTCTTGTGGAGTCATTAAGGTCATTTCATGGGACTGAGTGCTGTGAATAATTCAAAGACAGTTAGCATCCAAGTCTAGGTTTTTTGGCAATATGGCGTATTGGCAAAGCACAACGTGCGATGGAAAGCAATTCTGGGATTTAACCCCAGCACTTCTGCCACCTACCTGTTGATGTTGGATGACTGACGTCACTTCTCTGAGCATCCATTTTCTTATTAAAATAAAGATGACATAATAAGATATCAATACTAACCTTACAATAAATATGTTAATTGGTACACTTAATTAAAAGAACCTAGCAAAGTATCTTGTGTAATAGAAGCAATGGCTTTTATTAGGATCTTGTTATGCAGCAAGCAAGGGTATACATGCCATATCACATTTAATCTCCAAAACAGGCCTACAGGATAAGTTCTCTTTCCATGCTCATCTTAAAGATGAGGATAACAAGGCTGATAGATATTCCTTAAAATTACTGGAGTTAGACCAGGCATGGTGGCTCACTCTTGTAATCCCAGCACTTTGGGAGACTGAGGCGGGCAGATCACCTAGGTCAGGAGTTCAAGACCAGCCTGGCCAACATGGTGAAACCTGGCTCTACTAAAAATACAAAAATTAGCCAGGTGTGATGGCGCATGCCTGTAATCCCAGCTACTCTGGAGGCTGAGACAGGAGAATCACTTGAACCTGGGAGGCAGAGGTTGCAGTGAGCTGATGTCGTGCCATTGCACTCCAGCCTGGGCAACAGAGTGAGACTCCATCTCAAAAAAAAAAAAAAAAAATTACTGGAGTTATCGAGAAGCCCAGATCCCATAGAGAGTTTGTACTCTCCTTGCCTCTTCCAAATCAGCACAAAATATTCATGTTCTTCCTAGTTGCTCTCAAGGAACTTACCTCTTAGAGTACCAGGCTGCATGGTGACCAGGCTATACTTGGCAAGAGCAGAGTTTCTAGAATCATCTCTTGTGCACTTTGATGCACATTCCTGGCCTCCCATCCAGCACTCTATTCCAGAGAAGGAAGTAAATGCCCACTCTCCAGCCCTGGACCCAGCACATAGGGAGCCAAGGCCTTCTCTTGCCTGCCATTCCCTTGAGACCAAGTCTAGGACAGCCTGGGAACACTTAATAAGATTCCTCAATGTTTTGTTTCTACCTTACAGCAGCACAGGTCAATTCCACCTGACATTCTCCCCATTCCACCCCCAATCTCTCGGCAAAGGTACTTTGCAAGACACTTTCAGTTTGGTTCCTAGGACCAATACTTTTGACGAACAAAGATGTGGAGTCTCCCCCATAAGGCTGTAGACAGAGCAAGAGCAACCTCTTTTCCTAAAATGGAACTGTATGTGTGCAGAAGGAGCTACTGAACATCTGTCCCTGGTGACTTCCTCTGGGCAATGCAAGACCCCATTTCCCATAAATTTCTGTGGCACCTTTATTTGTGATTATGCAAGAGTTTCTGCTTTATTGGGTACACTGAATGCTTGCTCTCAAGGTATTTTTTTTCTTTCCCATAAATGCAGGATTCTTTCAGTACCCACAGAGATTATAATTAGAAATGGTTTAAACACAGTCTCTGTGTGTGTATCTCTGTGTGTGTGTGTATGTAAAATCAGGAAGTTGCCACAAGATATAAATCAATTCGTCTATTAATATACATGAGACACTTAAATAAAACTCTAGGAAATGGAATCCAACAAGGTACTGAAAGAATAATAACCATAATCAGTAGCATTTCTTTTGGGAATGCAAAACAACAACAAAAGCAATCATTCAGAAGGAAAGCATTGGTCACCTTTGGAGGATGCTTTGAAAACTGGAAAATAAAGGGAAAGAATCATGAATTCTGCCTTTCCTGTATGAACTGTTCCTCAGAGTAACCAAATAATTGTGAGGGGAATGTTTCTCTTGCCAGAAGTATTACAACCAGCAAATGAAGAAATCATGTTAAAATAAGTATATTACCATTTTGTAATCCTTAATGCATTAGTGGAGCTGGGCAATGATCATCAACAGCTGCTAACATTAAAAAAAAAAAAAAAAAAGTGGGAGGCCACGCACAGTGGCTCACACCTGTAATCCTAGCACTTTGGGAGGCCGAGGCAGGCGAATCACTTGAGGCCAGGAGTTCAAGACAAGCCCAGGCAACATGGCGAAATACTGTCTCTGCTAAAAATACAAAAAAAATTAGCTGGGCGTGGTGGTGCACACCTGCGGTCTCAGCTGCTTGAGAGGCTGAGGTGGGAGAACCACCTGAACCCAGGAAGTCAAAGCTGCTGTAAGCCAAGGCCACTGTACTCCAGCCCTGGCTATAGATGTCTCAAAAACAATTTGTCTCGAAAAACGTGGGGGAAGCAACAATAATTACGTACCTTCTGATGAAAGAATGTACCACCATATATTCATGTTCAAAACTTGCATCTAAATCTGATCAAGGCCAGGTGTGATGGTTCACACCTGTAATCCCAGCACTTTGGGATCACCTGAGGTGGGCGGATCACCTGAGGTCAGGAGTTCGAGACCGGCCTGGTCAACATGGCAAAACCCCATCTCTACCAAAAATACAAAAATTAGCCAGGCGTGATGGCACATGCCTGTAATCCCAGCTACTTGGGAGGCTGAGGATGGAGGATCACTTCAATCTAGAAGGCAGAGGTTGCAGTGAGCCAAGGTCATACCACTGCAACTCCAGCCTGGGTGACAGAGTGAGACTCCCTCATAAATAAATAAATAAATCTGATCAAGCCTCTGGTACCAATTTACATGAAATGACAGGAACAAAGGAACATGTTGCATGACTTCTCAGAGATGTAATCAGCAAGCCTAGGTGTGGGGAAGTAGGACAGAGAATCTGGTTCCTTAACAAATAAAAAGGGGAACAGGAAAAGCAACTGAATAATATATAGATTTTAAAGCCTCAGAGATCTTTACACATTCTGATACAAGGAGGAGGAGCTTCATTCCCTCCCCTTGAGTATGGGCTGCACTTGGTGACTTATATTTAGTGAATAGAGTATGAAAAGAGGAAAATAGTACCTTCATAGTGAAGAGACCTGGCAGACACTACCAGAACCAAGTGATAAGGTTAACGACACCAGTGACAAGTCACATGGATATCATACGCTCCCTGATACGAAGTGATTAAAAGCATACATCACCTCCATGATATTCTTTCCCAAAATGTATAACTCTAGTCTAATCATGAGAAAACATCAGACAGACCCAAATTGAGGGACATTCTACAAAATACTTGACCAGTACTTTTCAAAAGTTTATAGAAACTACAATCATATGTATGAAAATTATATTTAAAAACGTAAGAAAATGTGTGTAGGACATATGCACCTGACAACTAAGGAGATGGTTGTATGTAGGCTACTGCAATAGAGAGAAGTTCATTAATTAGAAACATGTTTTAAAAAGAGGACTTGGGGTTTTATAACACAAGGGAGTCATTAAGGGAAGGGTGGTCTAAGTCATGTAGGGAAGGTGTGTTTTTTGCAATTAGCCATTTCCTGAAACACAGAAGAGTGGGGCATTTCTTATCCATTCCTATTTTCCTGGAGTGAATAGCTCAGGTAAAGTTGAATGCATCCATTCAAAAGAAGAAACAACACTGTACTCCAGCCTGGCGACAGAGTAAGACTCTGTCAAAAATAAATAAGAAGAAAACAAGAAGAAGAAGAGGAAGAAGAGGAAGAGGAGGAAGAAGAAGAGGAAGAGGAGGAAGAAGAAGAAGAAGAGGAGGAGGAGGAGGGGGAGGAAACAAATGTCAGATAATCTCACTTCCCGGAAATAATAACATTTAATGTGGTTGTTTTTCAAATCTGGAATTATTAAAGAACTACATCTTATGATTATCTCTTCACTCAGTAATATATTTTTATAATGTAACTGTCTCAAATGTCTGTAACACTCAGGGAAATAAGCTCCCATTCAAAAGCGTAGTAAACATAAATATACCTGGGTGAAGCACCAGAGGATATAAACAGGCAATTTGCAGAATGACAACTCTCAAAAACTAACACTCATATGAGAGGTGCTCACAAATGTTAATAATCCAGGAAATGCAAATTGATGCAACAATGAGATATAATTTTACACCTATTAGATTGGCAAATATTAGGAAGTTCAGTAAAACTGAGTGTTGCGGGGATGTGGGATTACAGCAACCTCATGCACTGACCTCCTAATTGGACAAATTGAGGAATCCCCCAGTGTGTGTGGCTTGATGGAAAACAGGCTCCAGCTTCCACCAGGGATGCTGCAGGATGCTGTACATTTTCTTTCCACACCTGCCGACAGGCAGGGCCTGGGCCCGCTCCCTGCGATTGGCCACTCAGGTTAGCCTTCCCAAGAATTTGAATCAGGTGCTAAAGGTACGAAGACCCCAGAAAAGTTAGCGATTCTTCTCAGAAGCAGCAATGGACTCCAGCACCCAGCAGTATGGCTTTGAGTGTCCAGTGTGTTTCTGCCTGTGGCAGGGTCCTCCCAGGACTGCTTCTGTGCACAGCTTATCAGTGTTCTTCCCAGCTTGGAGACCCTGGGTCCCCATCCGGGAGTGCTTGGTTCTTCAGCTTTCAGGAAGATGGAGTAGACACGCTTCTCCCTATTCCTCCCAGTAAGGACAACTAAAAACTCTGGACATTTGGGAAACTTTCAGCCATTATTTCTTTGAATACCTTTTCAGCCTTGTCTTCTTTCTTTTCTTCTTCTGCAACTTCAGTGACACAAACACTGGGTCTTGTCATAGTCTCACAGGTCCCTGAAGCTCTGTTCATTGTTTTCCATTTATTTTCTCTCTGTTTTTCAGTCTGGGTGGTTTCTCTAGTTATAGTTCCCAATTCAGTGATTTTTTTCCCCTCTCTCTCCTCTATTTGGCTATTGAGCCCATCCATTTATTTTGGTTATTGTATTTTTTCAGTAGATTTAGTTTGTATATAAAGCAAGTATAAGAATATTCTGAAAAGTGGAGAAAAGAAGGCAGACCAGCTAGGAGACTTGGGACCATCATAGTGCGTTCTCCTGGCTTTCATTTTGTCTCATATATCCCAGACTTGAATTGAAGAAGTTCATGACCTGGAAACTCTAGTGTTTGAGATGGGGGGAAAAGTCCCAACAAAAACCTACTCCCTCTAGACAAAGCAAAAACAAAACAGAAAGCAGAAAAGGGGCAGCCTTACAAGATAGAAAACCCTTGAGACAATAACCTTTCTACTCCAGCCAAACACCACAGAAAAGACTGTGGCCCACCCACACTCACACAAGCAAAGGCAGAGTGGAGATCCTAGAATTCCACCCACACCAGGCTGTAAAGAGGCACCTCAACTCTCCCCATGGGCTCCCTGCAATATCAGTGAAGACAGTCGGGGAGCCTGGACTTCCACTCCCATCCAGCAGTTACCAGGTGCCCCTCTCTGCTCTGCTGGGGCAGCGTCCCAGAAAACCCAGAGGAGGGTCAGGACTTTCACCACCAACTAGTGGTAATGAGGCCACCACCACTGTGGTGTCAGGGGAGGCCCCTTGGGGAGCAGTCATAAGCCATCCCACCCAATTGTCCCCCAAGTCAGGGAGGTCTTAGTAGAGGCCTACGGAGAGGCTGGAATTCCCATTCCCACAACCAGTAACGAGGAGAGAAAAGAAAGAGGGTGAAATGGAATGAAACATCAAGGATGAAATGGGATATCACTACAGACTCTGTATACATCAGAAGGATAGTAGGGAATACTACAAACAACTCTACGTACACACATTTGACAGCTTAGCTTAAACAAGCCAATTCCTCAAAAACTATAACTCACCCAATATGAAATGGAATTTTAAAACTGAATTTGTAATTTTAAAACTAAAATTTAAAAACGTCTCCTAGACCAAGAGAGTTCACTGGAGAATTCTACCAAAAGTTTAAAAAAGAATTAACACTAATTCTACAAAATCTCTTCCGGAAAATTGAAGATGAGGGTAGACTTTCCCATTTATTTTATGAAGCTAGTACTAAATCTGATACTCAAACCAAAAAAAAAGATAGATAGTAAAAAAAACAAAAGACTAACATCATGAATATAGATGCAACTTTTTTTTAAATTAGCAAGTAGAAGTCAACAATGTAAAAAAAAGTATACACAATGACCAAGTTGAGGGTGGCTTGTGCTGGCCTGCAGGTGCCCCTTGCTGTGAGCAGCCTGGGTGCCATGGACAGTGGCAGGAGGCCGATAGGCTCTGGGGCAGAAGGGGGCAGATCCCCAGTGAGGCCCACCTTCAGACCAAGGAGGGCCTGAAGGCTGGGGTCGGGCTACCAGCCCCACAGGCCAGAGTGGGAGCTTGTGGTGCCTTTTCTGGGCCTGCCCATGGCTACCCATAGACCAGCTGGCATACACTTTCCCCCCTCTGAAGCCCATAATACCCCTGGGCTCAACCAGAGCTGAGCAGACACTGGGATGACCAACAGCAAAGAGGAGCTACCCACTCCAGAGCCTACTCTCTGCTGAGAGCTGCAGAGACAATGGGACCACCTGCAAGCAAAGAGGAGCTTCCCACTCCAGGGTCTCCTCTTTGCTAGGAGCTGAACACTCATCAGGACACCCTGGCTGTGGAAAGGAGCTACCCACTGCAGGTTTCCTCTGAACTGTCCTATCACTCAATAAAGCTCCTTTTCATCTTGCTCAGAGCCTCCACTTGTCTGCGTACCTCCTTCTTCCTGGTTATAGGACAAGAACTTGGGACCCATTGAATGGCAGGGCTAAAAGGGCTGTAACACAAACAGGGTTGAAATATGTCCCTTGCTCGCTACATTGAGGGTGAAGAGAAAGAAAGAACAGCTGTGGCCCTTAGGGGATCCCAGACCTTGGAGCTCCCCAAGCCCGGTCTATGACTCCTTTTTGGGAGCCCCGTGGTTCCTGGCATCTCCAAGCTTCCAGGCACCACTGTGTTCCCCGGTTCCAGCTGTGGAAGCTGCGTGCAGTGTGCCTGGCCCAGCCACAGCCTCATAGAGAACTAGTGCCTATGCCAGCACCTGGAGCTGCCCACCCCACTGCAGCAGCTGACATGTCTGACTGCACAGTGACCAGACCCCACGCTTGCTCACACACCCCTTGCCACTCCATGCCTGACTTGCCTTTGGCAGACGTGAGATCCAGGCTGGTAGCATGAGCTGAGCACAGCCTGCCAGGCCAAGTAGGCAGAAGGAGCCCAGTGGGCCCAAACAAAACTTGGGCAAAGGGGCCACTGGCCACAGAGGTTTCTGGCCAGAAAAGCAACACCCCAAAGATCTTGTAACAAAGTGAGGCTTACTGTAGGAATGCAGGGCTGTTTTACTATTCACAAATCAGTCAACATAATCCAACATATTAACAAAAGAAAATTGATACAAAAGAAAATTGATCTTACCAATCAATACAGAAAAAGCATTTGACAAAACACCCATTCATGGGTTTAAAAATGCTCAGAAAAATAGAAATAGAGGGAATTTGTCCTAACTTGTTAAAGAGCATCTATAACAACTCCACAGCCAGCATCATACTTAACAGTGAAAGAATGAATGACTGTACCCTGAGAACAGGAACAGGGCAAGGATGATTGCTCTTACCATTATTGTTAAACAGTGTTAGAAGTTCTACCCAATGCAATAAGGTAAGAAAAGGAAATAAAAGGCATATAGATCAGAAAGGTAGTAATAAAACTGTCCCTATTTGCAGATAACATGCTTATCTAAGTAGGAAAACTCAAAGATCTACCAAAAATAGAATCAAAAACAAAAACTCCTAGAGCTGATAAGTGACTTCAGCTAGACTGCTGGAATATGTTGTATTTCTTTATACTAGCAATGAACACATGGGCACTGAAATTTAAAATACAGTAGCATTTACAATGTATCAAAAAACAAAATACTTAAATTTAAATCCAACAAAACATGTACAGGGCTTGCATGCTGATAACTACTCAGGTTTAAATTGTAAGAGATAGAACTTTCAGAAAAAAAAAATATATATTTGGGATCTAGATAGTGAGGCAAAGAACTACAAAATTGCTGATGAAAGAAATTTCAGAAATCTAAAAAAAGAATGACCATACTTACTTATGGATTAGAAGACTTAATATGGTAAATCTGTCAATTCTTCCCAAGTTGATATAAGGATTTAATGCAGTTCTTATTGTTACAGGCTAACTGAGTTCTACTGTAACACCTAATGGGAAAAAGGGCAAGCAGGTTTTATTCCTGGCCAGGAACGGAGGAGGGAGCTCTTTCTCTAAAGATTCTTTCTCCCTGAGCTATGAGAAGCTGGGGGATTTTAAGGCGTTAGATGTGGGGCGGGGAGGTAGGTAAACACATGTGGGGAGGAACTCCAGACGTGCAGGTGCAGATCATGAACATGCTTCTTCACATAATGTATATTCAGAAAATGGCAGCAATTATCTTCTATGGGTGAGGCTTTAGCATTATGATGATATGTTAATGATCTCAAGGTAACACAGGGTCGCTGGTTCAGGTTTGCCCCGGTTTCACACAGGCCTTATCTTCCTCTGATAATTGGCAAGGAGTCCTGCAGCCCCCGGGCCATCTGGAGTTCTTTTAACCAAGCTTACCTATAGATAAAGAAATAGAAAAATCTGTTTAAGAAAAGAATAATGAGTTTTTTCAGTTATCTACTGTTTAAGAAAATAATGAGCTTTCTCGGCTGTATCTCCAGGGCTGGCCTAGTAACACTATCAAAATCCCAGCAGGATTTTTTGTAGATATAGGCAACATTATTTGAAAGTTTGTATGGAAAGGCAAAGGCACTGGAATAGCTAACACAATTTTGAAAAAGAATAACAAAATGGGAGGAATCAGTTTCCAGTAATCAAGACTATGTGGTATTGGAGGAGGGATAGACACATAGAGCAATGGAATACAACAAAGAATCCAGAAATAGACCCACAGAAATATGTCCAACTGACATTTTGCAAAAGTGCAAGGGCAATTCAGTGGACAAAAGACAGTCTTTTCAACAAAAAAATGGTTCTGGAACAGTAAGACATCTATAAGCAAAAAAAGAAGGAAGAAGAAGAAAGAAAAGAAAGAACAGAACCTCACCCTAGGTCTCACACCTTACATTAAAATTAACTTAAAATAAATCTCAGGTTTAAATTGTAAGAGATAAAACTTTCAGAAAAAAAAATACAAGAAAATATTTGGGATTTAGATACTGAGGCAAATAATTGAAAACAAAAGCACAATCCATAAAAGGAAACTTTGGACTTCATCAAAATTAAAAATTTTTGTTCTGCAGAAGACCTTGCTACAAGGATGAAAAGACAAGCTACACACTGGGAGAAAATATTTGCAAACCATTCATACCACAAAGAACTAGTACCTAAAATGTACCAGTGTTTTGTTGTATAAATGGGTTGCAAATATTATTATATATCCCCTGATATAAGGAATTCTCAAAGCTTAACAGAAAAAAAAATCAAATTAGAAAATGAGCAAAAGATGTTATCAAAAAAAGATATACAGATAGTAAGTAAGCACATGAAAAGATGTTTAACATCCATTAGCGAAGTAAAAATTAAAAACACAATGAGCTATCACTGCATTCCCATCAGAATGACTAGAATCAAAAATAGTGACAACACCAAATGCTGGTGAGGATGTGGAGAAATAGGACCATTGTACATTGCTAATGAAAATGAAAAATGGTACCACCACTCTGGAAAACAGTTTGACAATTTCTTAAAAAATTAAATATGCAACTACCATAAGATCCAGCAATTGCAATCCTGGGCATTTATTCCAGAGAAATAAAAATTTGTGTTCACTCTGAAAAATGGACATGGATGTACATAACAGCTTTATTTGTAATAACCAAAAACTGAAAACAGTCTAGATGCCCTTCACTGGGCAAGTGGTTAAACTGTGGTGCATGGATACCATAGAATGCCACTCAGTGATCAAAAGGAATGAGCTACTGATACATGCAACAGCCTGGATGAATCGCCAGAGAATTGTGCTGAGTCAGAAAAGTTACATACTGTATTGGTGCTTGAGGGCTCAGGAGGGTCTCCAGATGCTACTAAGGCCCCATTTCCAGCTGGTGTCCAGATTCTTGGCACCATCACAAGAAAGAGTTCAGGGATGAGTCAGAATAAAGCCAAAGGCAAGAAGCTTTTATTGCAAATTGAAAGTACACACTTAGAAGTGTGAGCCTGCTTGAGAGAATAAGTCACACATAATGGAGTTTGGGTGTCTAATTTTATGAGTGTTTCTTTAATTAAGGGGTGGAATATCCTGGAAAAGGAGGGGATTTCAGGGACATCCCCCCTCCACTCCAGTTATTACCACGTTTCTGCATTACTTGGATTTGCCTGGAAGAGTCATGGACATTGTCGCCCTGACCAGAGTTTCAGCCATTTTATTTCCTTTGTTTTGGGTTTTCTGTTATGCTATGGTTTCTTTACCTAGTTCTTGTTTATTTGACTGGTTCTTCTTTCTGTTCCCTCTTTCTTTCTTTCTTTCTTTCTTTCTTTCTTTCTTTCTTTCTTTCTTTCTTTCTTTCTTTCTTTTTTTTTTTTAAAAAGCAGTCTCACTCTGTTGCCCAGAGTGGAGTGCAGTGGCATGATCTCAGCTCACTGCAACTGCTGCCTCCCAGGTTCAAGTGATTCTCCTGCCTCAGCCTCCTGAGTAGCTGAGACTACAGGTACCCGCCACCACGCTCGACTAATTTTTGTATTTTTAGTAGGGGCAAGAGTTTCATCATGTTGGCCAGGCTGGTCTCAAACTCCTGACCTCAAGTGATCTGTCTGCCTCAGCCTCCCAAAGTGCTGGGATTACAGGCATAAGCCACCGCACCTGGCCTTTGGCTAGTTCTTATTTGAGTTTTTCCATCCTCCTGTGACCACCCAGTGCTGTTCCCATCTCAACATCATTCTGTTGGTATAGCATTCTTGAAATGACAAAATTTTACAAATGGAGAACAGATAAGTTGTTGCAGGAGCTAAAGAGGGGGTGTGATTGGAAGGAAGGGAGGGTGGCTACAACAGAGTACCATGGGGGATGCTGGTGCTGATTGACATGTTCTGTATCCTGACTGTATCATTGTCAATATCTTGGCTGTGATATTGTTTTGCAAGATGTTACCACTGGAGCATACTGGGTTAAGGGTACACAGGATCTCCCTGTATCATTTCATACAAATGGGTGTGAATCTACAATTATTTAAAAGTGAAATTTAATTTATTAAGAAGGATCTTAGCAGTGATCCACACACAATGTAGGTTAGCTGTTACTACTGGGATGGAGAAGGGAAGAGGAAAAGAAAAGAAATAAATCACCTAAGGAACTGAGGCATCTACCTTATGTTTGTAGTGAATACAGATTTTCAAAAGCATGCCCCCCCAAAAGTGACTTTCCACCACATAACTTTCCTTTTTATCACTGAGTGGTGTTCCCCGGTACGTGTGCACTACCGTTTGTTTAACCAACCATTTGCCCAGTGAAGCACATCTAGGTTGTTTTGGTTTTGGCTGTTACAAATAAAGCTGCTATGGACATTCATGTCCATCTTTTGGAGTGAACATACATCTTCATTTCTCTGGGATACATGTCCAGGAGTGCGATTGGTGTGGTATTTTCCATTATCCCTTTAAATCTGTACAATAGGGCTAGCTCTCGCCCTGCACCTGGATGGGACCTCAGCCAGGCAGCCGCCATAACCTCTCTGATTGCTCTTAGGTAATAAACAACTAGTAGCTAGTTATGCAAGCAGCTGCATATCTGACTCTGCGTCCCCATTGTGCTTGATGAAGAAGACCTAATCTAGTCCTATGCTGATAAACTAAATCAAATTCAGAGACTTCTGAGTCCTTTCATATAGAGAACTCGGACACAGTCAGAATTGTTTTTTCTCCTTTCGCCTCCTCTTCTTTAGAATGAACGCTGAACTTGGGGGACAGAGGGGTGCACAGAGGCAGTGGTGGGGAGAGATGGGGTGCTGTTTCTCCATCCCATCTTGGTAGAGATTGTCTCCATCTTTATCTGGCCTCCTGCTCCTGGGAGAAGCTGGTCCTTGGCACTGGTGTTGCATGGGTTCCGTGGATAGTGCTTGCATGGACCCCAGGCATTGACTCAGTGCGTCTTAGCCCACTAGGGTGCTCATCCATGGTGTGGAACCACATCATCCACTGCTTCCCAGCAAGGCTGTCCCAGCCATGTCCTGACCAAACATGACTCAAGGTACAAAATCATAAAGCATTTTTATTTTTATTTTCCTCTATCCTTTTAAATCTGTTCTGTAGGGCTAGTTCTTCCCTTACCCTTGGATGAGACCTCAGGCAGTCTTCATAATGTCTCTGGTTGCTCGTAGGTAATAAACAACTAGCAGCTAGTCATGCAGGCCCCTGTACACTACCTCTGTGTGATTCCTGTGTCACCACTTGCTCCCTAAGGGAGAGACTGGCTTATTTTCTGCTTGCCACAGTGTTTGCTGCTTTCTCAAAGTATGCTGAACCTTTGGCCTTGAGTTCCACAGCTTCACGACAGCCCATGGAGTGGGTAGCATCCATCCGAGCCCATGGTGTCACCCGTGGGACCTGAGGGCAGGGAAACCAGCACAGCTCTGCAGATACACATGCTGCTTGCTGCGCTTGGAGTGAGAAACTGTCTTGCTCTCATCCGTTGCCTGCTTTGGGCACCTCTAGAGCCATGGAAGGTTTATTCCTGGCTATCCTCAGTGAGCCTGGGGCTTTTCCCTAACACCCTGTCTACACCACACCAAAGGGAAGGAGCAGCTCTCTAGGAGAACCACCCCTCCTGAGCCATGCATGTTAGACTCACAGGACCCTGGTTCCAATTCCTCATGTGTGGTTTAGTCTTACCTGAGTATCTCTTTCTTTTTTTTCCAACTTTTATCTTAAGTTCAGGGGTACACGTGCAGGATGTGCAGGTTTGTTACATAGGCAAACATGTGCCATGGTGGTTTGCTGCACAGAGCATCCCATCACCCAGGTATTAAGCCCATCCATCATCCATTAGCTATTCTTCCTGATGCTCTCCTTCTTCCCACCCCCGCCCTTTGACCCCACCCCAGTGTGTGTTTTTCCCCTCCATGTGCCCATGTGTTCTCATCGCTTAGCTTCCACTTATAAGTGAGAATATGCAGTATTTGGTTTTCTCTTCCTGCGTTAGTTTGCTAAGGATAATGGCCTCCAGCTCCATCCATGTCCCTGCAAAGGACAGGATCTTGTTCCTTTTTATGGCTACATAATATTCCATGGTATGTACCACATTTTCTTTAAGCTCTCTCATTGGTGGGAATTTACTGGGGAAGCATCAGGATTTTCTTCTGCCACTTATGCCTCTGTTTTACAGAGCCTGAGATTTTTTTCTCAATCTGTGTGGAACAGCGCTTTGCAGAAGGCTAGCACTGTAAGACTTAACCCAAGTCATCCTCACTCCTCTTCTGCTCCAACTTCCAGGAGAAAAGGGAAATCATCAGGTAATAATGCCCTAAATATCCCGAACTTCTACCCTACCTCTACCTGCCCCTCATCTTCCTTTCTGTCTCAGAGGCCAGGGAGGGGACTCCCCTCTAAAGCCAGTAAGAACC